CAGCTACGGATCCATCTGGTGGTGGTTCTGTCTACCCCACATTCCAGCAACAACAGCTAAGGCCTCCCTGTCTATTTGAGCATAATTACGCTCAGCAGAAGACAATGTTCTGGAGTAATACGCAACAGGAACCTGAGTTCCATCAGACCTGAGGTGGCTCAGTACAGCTCCTACCCCATAAAGGGAAGCATCACAAGCGATGCACACAGGAAGGGATTCATTGAAATGTGCAAGTACACTGTTAGAAGTGAGTAAGGCCTTGACCTCATTGAAACTTGCCTCATGTGTCTGTGACCACTGCCACACTGCCTGTGTATCTAATAGCCTGTGAAGAGGCTCAGCTACACTAGCCTTATGTGGAAGAAAGGAATTGTAGAAATTCAGAAGGCCCAGAAAGGCCTGTAGTTCAGCCTTGGACTTTGGCCTAGGGGCATGCATAATAGCTTTTAGTTTGGATTCAGCAGGGTGAATCCCAGCAGCATCAATTTTGAACCCCAGGAAATCAGTAGAAGGCACCCCAATTTTGCATTTGTCCTTTTTAAGTTTGAGGCCTGTTTTCCTGAACCTTGACAGGACAGCCCTCAGCCTTTCAGCTAAATTGTGTGTGGAGTCTCCTGCAATTAAGACATCATCAAAGTAGGGGCAAACCCCTGGTATACCCCGTAGTGTGTTTTCCATTACGCTTTGGAAAATCCCAGGAGCGACATTTACTCCAAATTGTAGCCTCTTTACTTTGAAGGCCCCTCTGTGGGTCACAATGGTCTGAGCTATAGCAGCATCATCATCAACAGGCAGCTGTTGATATGCTTGAGCTAGGTCAAGCTTTGCAAAACACGCCCCCCCTTGAGGGAGGCCAGAATATGATTGACCACAGGGACAGGATAGGCATGTTGCTGCAATGCCTTATTCAGGGTGCATTTGTAATCAGCACAGATGCGAATGTCCCCATTTGCCTTGAGAGGCGTGACAATGGGGGTCTCCCAGGGACTGGAGTCAACAGGTTCTAGAATTCCTTGTTGGATCAGTTTATCCAACTCAGTGTCAATTTTACTCTTTAAAGCAAAAGGGACCCTTCTTGCTTTAATTCTAATGGGAGTGACAGTGGGGTCTAGCTTTAAGGACACAGGGGGTCCTTTGAATGTGCCCAGCTGGGGGCTGAAAACATCTGCAAATTCTTTGCAGACTTCCTGTAGGTCGAGTGTTTGTAGGCTGTTGAGCCCTGTGATGTGTATCCCCAAGGCCTCAAACCAATCAAGTCCTATGAGACTCATTCGTTCACCCCCTACTACTAATAGGTCTAGTGGACCCTCAAAATCCTTATATTGCACGTTAAGGGTGGCCTCCCCTTTAACACACACTCTGGAGTTTTGAAAGTCTGTTAGCACAATGTCAGAAGGCCTCAACTTGGCCTGGATTCCGCTGCCGGAACAAATCTTCCTAAATGTGTGCGTAGAAATGATTGAAAGTGCAGACCCCGTGTCCAGTTCCATAGTTAATGGAACCCCTTGTAGCTTTACCTATTAAGTTTTTTCTTAATAGGCTTGTGTGTGCCTGTCCTATAGATGCTTCTTCGCGAAGCGCAAAACCCCACCCTATTCTGGCTGGGACCCCTGGTACCTTTCAGGCACAATTCTTCCTGAGGTTGTACCTTTTGACGGCCCAGGCACACAGCTGCAATGTGTCCTTGTTTTCCGCACGCCCTTCAGATAGCGGAGCGGAACTTGCAGTCGGTTCTCTTGTGGCGACCTCCACAGCCGATGCACTTGGGGAGCGCTGAAGAGCTTCCTTTTTGTTTCCCTTCCTTTGTATGTTGGAGACGGTCCACTTCCTCGTCAGGATCCTCCTCAGAGTTTCTTTGGACTTCTTCCCGGTGCACGGATGCAGCATCTGGACTGTTTCTGATCGGCCGCATGTTCTTGATGGCGCCGCCCGCTGCTTCTTCTGCGGTGACCTCTCTCAAGGCATCTTGGAAAGACAAGTCCTCCTTGGCAAAAAGTCTCTGTTGTAACTCTCTACGCCTTAGTCCGCATACAAATCTGTCCCTCAGTTGTTCTTCGAGGTCCTTGAACTCGCAATGTTTGGCGGCCTTCCTCAATGCGGCGATGTACTCCTTGGCCGATTCTCCGGATCGTTGATCTCTCTGCTCGAAGGTGTGGCGCCACGCGATGACGGACATCTTGGGCTGGAAGTGCTCCTTCAGTAGCTTTTTTAGATCTGTGTAGCTGACAGAATTGAGAGGGACAGGTGCTGCAAGGTTCTCAGCGATTTCGAATGCGTCTTGACCGCAAACGCACAGCAGGGTGGCAGCCTTTAAACTATCTTCCTTTACTTGGTTCACCTTGAGGTAGTTTTCCACCCTGGCTACGTAGGACTCCCACCTCTCTGGATGTGAGACATCGAATTCCGAAAGCCTTCCAATCTTTGCCATTTTTGTATCAGGAAGGGTCTATCAGCCAGCCTACCCCCGAATGCACGCTGGATTGGCGGGTAGCTGCCGAGTCAACGCTGTTCCTGCCGCTCAGGACTCACTCGGGTAAGCTTACACCTTTTCTTCTTCGATGTAAGGCAATCCCATCCTCGTCGCCAGTGTTGCGTCCTTCGCGAAATGGCAAGACACGAGAAGCAGTTGTAGTTCTCAGGAACTCTTTATTCTTAGTTCAGCTTTACAGTTAGAAGACACCGGCAAAGCCCAAAACTCCTGGCCTCTCATATAGGCCATCCCCGGGTCAATCTGCAACTTTTGGCGCGCCAGCACTTGCGCATGCGCACAAGTACTGGCGACAGCCTGTCTGGTCCCGGGTAACTTGCACCTGCCCGGGACCGCTTGCAATGCCCCGAGCTTGCTTGCACAGGCTCAGGACATAACAATGTGTTCCTTCTTGTTTCCTGGATTTGGGCAATAAAAAAGATTTATTGAAACTTAGAATGTATGTTAAAATAGAAAATAAATAACCTTAAAAGAAAGTTTTCTTGCTTTTTAAATTTTTCTTTTTTCTTTTCTGTCATTTGGGACTTGTTTATTACTTCTTTAAGTTTATCTTAAGTTGGATTATTTTACATTTAAATAATTTCTGGAAGAATTCATTGCTTCAGATCATCCATTTTCTCACAAATATAAACCTTTGCATTTTGCTTTCTTTTTCTTCTGAGAAACTCAAGATTCTAGTTTTTTACTTATGTCCTATTGTGGTATTTTCCTTCATGAATAGATTAGCAGAAGCATGCACATATTTTTCCTGGTTCTGCTTCATCTTTGAATAACATGGTAAGGACCATGCTAAGAACTAGTGAGCAGATCAGAATAATTGTGACTAATAAATGTATTATTTATTTTTGTGCCTTAAAAAATTATCCAGCATTCAATGCAACTTCCAAGAGAACTCATGATTTCTTTCTGGTAGATACTGTTGCCACTAGAATTCACAGCTGCTCTTAAATTTAATACACTGTACCATTGCTATGTATTGTCTATTTCTCTATGAATTTTTATTAAGGTTCTTTATCATTCCCTATCGTCCTATTGTTCCTGGCTTTTTCCACCTTTTCCAGCTCTGAACCAAATTCTGATTTATAATCTTGTTGAAATTTAATAGGATCGCTTCCAAGTTACAGCAATGTGCATGTAAAATGTGCTCGAGATAAGCTTTCCATTACAATATGGTTAAACTGGAAAAGAACCCTGGCACTTTAAAAAATATTCCAGAACTAGATCCCAAAAATACTATGAGCAGCATTTTTTATTTCTTTCTTCTAAAAGATTAACTGTTAGTTTATATTTAGCAAGAGAATGATTTTTTTAAAGTCTGCACTACTTGAGAGGCCTATTGAAGGAAAGCAAACAACATTCACATTGATTTGTAGACCATGGAAATAAACGATGGTCATTAAATATTCACAACTAGATTCTCCTTTTACATGGCTGGTGTTTGTAATGTCGATTTCTGTTTACTCTCAGTGAGCATTCTACACTTATGGAAACTGAAGGTTTAGCATATCTCTATTCATCTGCACAACACTACTGGACAGGAAAGGGAAACAAATATTAGGTGCCAGTATTCAATACTATTTACTTGCAGATTGAATTGCCATGATATTTCCTGTATCTAGTCCCTGACCTAAAATTTATTACTGTGTGCAGAATTCAGATCAATGTGCAATGGTTTTATGAACCACTGAAAACCAATGGAAATAGGCTATATAATATTAAAAACACATGCACTACATCATGAAAACATTGCATAGCTTCAGCGGATTTGTTGGTTCAAGGAAAGAGAGCACTGTTTATCATTTTGAGCCAGATCTTACTGACATTCAACTGTCTGCCATTTTAAGTAATAGGCAGCCCATTTGTAAGTATGAGTTGTCTGTAAATTGAATGTTCTTAATCCAGGGATTGCCTGTATGTCATATTGTATTTGGTTGTCCTAGTATTATTTTCAGGCTTTCATGGCAAGCCATATATTCTATCCATTCATTGAACTATGGAGTCCTTGGTGCTCTCTGAGCTTGGTTGTTTTGTTTTCTTTTATAAAAAAATACATTTTATTACCTAGCTAGGTAACATCATCAACGTACTCTGTATTTTTACTATATACTCCTATATGCTTTCTAAAGATTTCCAGATTTAGTTAAAATCTGGAGCTAATTGCTGTCCAATATAGTAAATACAGAAAATGCAGTACACTTGTTCTCTTCCTTCTATATCTAGTTTCATCTAGAATTTGTTTTATAGAATTTATTTTGAATTACTGATATTAAGCCATTGTCACCAAAGAACATTTTGCAAGCTACCAAAGCTGTATAGACCCTTGACTTAAATATGTATGGTTATATTGTAGTTATTTATGTTATTTATATTATATTGTAGTTTATGTTATACTGTATTTTTTATAAATTAGTCTCATAGCTAAGCAATGATCTCATTCAATGTTTTTCACCAATAGTGATTTCTTTTTGTTTGATTTAAAGATCAGCTTTCTCTCTCCTTGTTCTTGTTTCAGATTCCATTGGTGGGCCCTTTCCTGCTTCCTCTCATCGATGCCACCACAAGCAAAAGCAATCTCTACCCATCTCACAGTGTGGCACTCTCTCTGTCAGCCCACTGCTTTTCCATCCTCACACCAAGGGGTCACAGATCATTATGGATACCACTCAGAAAGTGGCCAAGCGACAGGCAAGTTTCTGCAATGCCATCACCTTCTGCAACAGGCCAATAGTCATCTATGAGCAAATCAGGCTTAAGGTGAGTTGGTACTTCTTTGCACTTTCTGTTTTTTTAACACAAAATTTGGCACACCACCTACTCGATAATATATTCCCTGGGATCAAATTCACATATGAAGAGGAAACAGACAACAGACTCTCATTCGTCAACATCAACATAAGGAGTCTAGACAGTAGAGAACTGGAAACCCGCGTCTACTGCAAACTGCAAATGAGGACCCAGATTGTTGGGGGCAATGTAAATATATATATACATTGCTTACTGGTGTACACCACTTAGAGAGTGCTTGCACTTAAAGCGGTATATAAGTCTCATAAATAAATAAATAAATAAATAAACAAACAAACAAACTCCCACACATGGACCAGGTCCTCAACTTCACAAGCAACCACCCCACTGCACACAAAAGAAGCTTCTTCAGAATGGCCAGGACACACAGCACCACAACACTAAGAAAAACAGAAGAGAAACGCTGTTTGACATCTTTCTCCATAATGGCTATCCAAAAAACTTTGTATTCTGATTTACAGCACCCAAACCACAACACACCACACAGCCAGCTAGCATGCAAAAACTAACCATATCATACTCAAAAGGGTGTCATAAATGACAGCAGAATTCTCCAACTCCTAGGAATAGCAATAGCTCACAAACCCACAGCTACCCTCCACCAGGAATTATTCAGAACCAAAGACAAGATACAGAAGGATGAAAGAAACAATATAATCTACAAAAACAACTGTAACCGTTGCAAATAATTCTATGTGGAACAAATATCACATCAATTAAAAACCAGGATCGATGAACACCAGCTGGCAGTCAAACACCACAATCCCAAATCCTTAATTTCTCCCCACACCACACTGACACCAAACAGCACCAGTTCAATTGGAGCAACACAAAAATAATTGGTTACTACCCACCACACTTGTGAGTTCATTGAAGCCTGGCACTCCACAAGCAATTTCATTAACATACACACTGACCTACAACCAGCCTATGAACCCTTCAGAATCCAAATCAACTGCACAGCCAACCAGAGACATCACCGACCCTCAACTAACCCACACAAGCCCTCCCACCGGCAGTTCACCTCCCAATGACCCTGACCTGATATAACCAATCAATCACAAGACCTATCACAAGACTCACTGATGACTCACACCTGACCTATCACAAGACCCATCATAAGATTCTCATTCAACACACCCATACCTGAAGCCCTTATAAACAGAAGAACACTGACACTAACATCCCTTAAACTCTGCTGAAGATGTTACCTAGCCTGGTAATGAAATGTTTAGAAAGCAGCCCACAAGCTACAGTTATTCACCACTATTGCAAATTTTGACTTGTGCTATAAAATATATTGGTGGTCTGTACAAGTGATTAAGTTGGGTAGATAGGGCTTTGTGAGCAAATGCTCATTAACATTCTTCCTGTCACTGAGTAGCATTTCCTATTCAATAGTGGTGCGCAGTCTGGAAGGCTTTTTGACTTTGCACTGTTCCATCAGCTGTTCCCTTTCCTAGATCAGAAAGTCCTTCAGACTGTCGCTTGAACTGTCACGGCACTGTCAAAAGAGCCATGATGGTGCAGTGGTTAGAATGCAGTATTGCAGGCTAATTCTGCTGACTGCCAGTAGTTTGATCCTCATCAGTTCAAGGTTGGCAACCTTCCATCCTTCCGAGGTTGGTAAAATGAGGACCCAGATTGTTCGGGTTAGTATGCTGACTCTGTAAAATGCTTAGAGAGGGCTGTAAAGTTCTACAAAGCGGCCTATAAATCTAAGTCTAAGTGCTATTGCTATTGCATCCTCGTCACCTTGTGGTTTGATTGCAATGTGCACTTCATGGGGCTGCCCTTGAAAACTACCTGGAACTTCAACTAATTCAGAATGCAGCAATGGAGACAGTGACAAGCTGTGCATAGTATGCCCATGTAACACCTCTGCTTTGTAAGCTGCTCTGGTTGTTTCTAGGTATGATTGATTGTAGCCTATAATGCCCTACATGCAGTGGTGGGATTCAGCAGGTTTGCACCAGTTCGGCAGAACCAGTAGCTAGATTTTTGTTGCCCAGGCCCAGAATGGACTTCCAGAAGCGGCATCCACACAGAGAATCGGTTGTTCAGATACTTATTCCTTTTGAAAACATCTCTCATAACATATTGTATTCATATTTTCACACATGCAAGGATAGTTTCTTCCTCCATATATATCCACATTCAGATTGTGTTAAACTTCCTTATCCATTCATATTCCTAATCCTACGTATACCTAATAAAAATGCAAAGTAATTATATTGATCTTGTTATGTTTCCCCCCTTTTAGATCACAAAGAAGCAGTGTTGTTGGAGTGGAGCTCTTCGACTGGGATTTACATCCAAGGATCCCTCTAGGATTAATCCAGAAACTCTGCCCAAGTATGCATGCCCAGATCTGGTTTCTCAAACTGGATTTTGGGCAAAGGCCCTTCCAGAAGAATTTGCAAATGAGGGAAATATCATAGCATTCTGGGTGGATAAAAAGGGACGTGTATTTTATCGTGTTAATGATTCTGCTGCAATGTTATTCTTCAATGGGGTAAGGACAACTGAACCATTGTGGGCTTTGATTGATGTCTATGGACTCACTCGTGGAGTGCAACTATTAGGTAGGTACATATCTGAAAAAATATGGCATTGTTATGAGTTGCTACAGTGTGTCCTTGAATTCTTGAGAAAAAATACTTTTAATTCTTGCCTTCTCTGAATTAGTAATGACTCTCCAGTGGCTGAACAACAGAATCAGGCCATTTCTAGTAATGTGAGTTTCTGAAACAGTATAGCTATCCATACATTTTTATCTCTTGATTTTTTTTCTTAACTCCATCTCCTGTTATGTTTATCTTCTAGTCACTGTTTCTTGTCCTTGTTCCAAAGGTCAAGAAGATTAAGAGCAATAGAGCAAGAGTGTCAGTACATTTTAAAATCGTTTGTTTTGGGCATAAACTGTTAATGAGCTAAGGACTCAGCTGGCCTGATAAACGTTATAGAGAGTTATTGCAGGTTTTTTGTATTTTATTGTCATTTTGACTTTTTCATCTGCACCAAGCCACTTCCATATGGTACATACCTGTATGGAGTATGTCCCTGATTGGACTATTACCTCAGAATTGGAGGTGAAAGCTTTTAACTTAAGTAACTAAAAAACTGTAAAATGGTCTTTTTTTTTTTTTTTAAAAAAAAAACCAAGTGGAAAAGTAGGCAGCTCAATAATAGAAAAATACTATGTGTTTGTGTGTATGAAACAATTTGTGTCAAATTTCTAAATAGGATATTCTGCATGTCAAACAAATAACTGCCAAGGCATTTAGAAGCTTCATCAGGCCATCTTGAAGGAAAGGTGGAGAAATGAGATAAGATTTCTGTCTTTGTGCAGTAACTAATCAAACTAAAGTGGGTTGCCTAAAACAATGTAAAACACAGCATGCAAACTGGACCACAGCACTTGAGCCAGCATAAGCCAGAAAGCATTATTGTCATCTTAGAATAGGAAAATACAAGCAGACATCTTATTTATGATGAGTTGGAGGTGAATAGAAGGCAACATCATTTATTCCTGCCCTCCAGAAATAGTTGGTGGCCCAAACCTATGTGAAGCAAATATGGCCAATGTCATCCCAAAATAATCCCAAGGGCAGGTTCTGTCACTGAAGAGAACGTAATCTAATGTCTGGTCTGCATGTCAGTCTCTTTAAAATTAATGGTAGAGGACCTTTGCATTATCTTTATTGCATATTATTTTTCACATGCAAAACTTGTGCTCTTTCATTGATATATAAAAATATACCATTATATAATACATAATAACTCCAAATACATTTCCGTGGTATTTAAGCCATATTTTGCTTGAACAAATGTATTAAACCATATTTGTTGTTTAAAAATCCTGCTTGATGCCCTTTTTACATTTTAAAAATTTGTTTATATGGACATTCAAGATCAAGCAAATATTTCCAGGATTGGAAGCCAGACATTACTATGAAAATAAATAGCATTAATAAAATATGTTTTGTTATGACAGACCATTAGTGCATATTTTAAAGTATGGAATGTACTTTGTTCATTCCCCATATCTTGCATACTTCTGTTACAACTGGGATAGGGAAATTAATATCAGGCTGTACTCAAAAGGAGAATTAATTGGTTATTGTTTTATATAAATGTTATATTTTAACAGCAATTGCTGATGTTAAAACTACTGGTTTACAAAATTGAATCTGTTTATTGGACTCTGAAAAAAATCATTCTATTGCTTTATTGCACAGTAAAGATATGGCAAACAGTGCTCCTTTAGTGAAAGTTGGGCTGGTGCTCCTTTGTGCACCTAAATAAATAAATGAATTCATATATATTAGGAAATTATATTATTTATTGTGTCTAATGTGTTTTAGGCTATTTTCCATGCTATAAAGAAGTGAATAGAGAAAGCACATTGAATGACTTAGATTAAGTATTGTATTTGTAAAACAGATGGCTGTTTGAGGACATAAAAATGTAGATTGAAAAAGTAAAGGGTAAAGGCAGAGAATTTAATGTAATACCACTGTGTGAAATCTCAAAGAATGAGGGAAATCGCAACTAATTTGTATTCATTTCCATAAAACATTTATTGTTCCAGTAAGCCACATAATGACCCTGAATAGACAAAGCTCTGACCAAAAATGAAAGGAAATAAATTCAAAAATTGATATATAATACTTATTTTTATTTATTTATAAAATTTATTTGCTGCTCATCTCATATCCACCACTTAATAGTAATACTAGAAATCATTAGAATTTATTAGATTTTCCTAATTGTGTGGTCCTGTTAGATATATCAGAATTTCTTTTACATTACATTTTACAGCAATCTTTCAACCTTGATTTATGTGTCATCAAGTCAGTGTTGACTCTTAGTGAGTACATAAATTTTCCTCAGGACAATCTGTCCCTAACCTGGTCCTTAAAAGACTTCCAGTGATGTGCCCATTGACAATATAACTGATTATATCCACTTTGCCTTTGGCTTTCTTCTTTTCCTCTTTCCTTCCATTTTTTCCAGCATCAGAGCCTTTTTCAGAGAACTAGGTCTTTGCATAATGTGTCCAAAACAAGATAATATGAGCCTGCTAATTAGTGCCTCAAGTGAGAACTCTGATTTGATTTGGGTTTTTTGATAGATTTGTCCATCATAAACTCATGGTATTCTCTTAACCCCAAATTTCAAATGTGTCTATATTCTTTCTATTGTGCTTCTTCAAAATATAACTTTCACTTCCATAGAGTGTTACAGGGAATGCCATCCCTTGCACTAGTCTAATCTTTGTAGATTTAGGATACTGCATGCCATGTGAATGTCTTTTCCAAGGCCTTCTTGAGTGCTACTCTGTAGTGTATATCTTCCCTGCATTATTCCGTTTTTCTTCATGGTTGATCCTAAAAAAGCAGAAGATATCTATCACTTCAGTACCTTCATTATCAGATTCAAGGCTGGTTGTTGTACCTGTTATCAGTTAGATTGTTCATCTTTGTATTTCATGTTAATCCAATTTTTTCTTACTCCTTGATTTTCATTATTAGAGATTGCAGCTTTGTTGCATTTTGGCTATCAGGGTAGTGTCGTCAGATTGAACCTTTTTTTTTTTTTTTGCACACGGCGGCAGAGGCCTAAACGAAAAGGTTTTTATAAAACCCAGCTGAAGGCCTAGGACTGGGGCAACGGTGCGCGTGCCCACAGAGAGGGCTCTGAGTGCCACCTCTGGCACCCGTGCCATAGGTTAACCACCACTGGTATACAGTCTTGTTTCACTCTTGTGCCAAATGGAACTAGACTGTTTTACTATGATCTTTCTCTAATCAATGAAGCACGTATGGATTTGTTTTTGATATTCTTTGGCTTTCTCAGTTACTAAGTACTTAGCGGGCATCAACAATAATGTCTTGTGTTCCCGAGTCTTTTCTAAAGGGACAGTCAGTTTGAAATCTGAAGATGACTCTATCTACCAGGGAATTTCTCTAATAGTTTTTGCTCTGCTTTATTCTCTCTCTCTCTCTCCCTCTCTCCCTCCCCCCCCCCTCTCTCTCTCTCTCTCTCTCTCTCTCTCTCTCTCTATATATATATATATATATATATATATATATATACACATACACATATATATAAATAAAATTTGGATTGCTAGCAAAGAATTAAGGGAGAACTGGAATAGCTATTTCAAACTTTTTAGTTCTTTTCAACCAGTCATATCCTTCTGAGATTTGAACCTGGGCTGTCTGCATGTTAGGCAGCTGTATTAAACTTCTAGGCCACAGGCTCTTTCTCACTTTTGCCAGCTGTGTTAGGGAGGGAAGAAGCAGGGGAGGAGTTATCTAGAATGCTGTATATTACACCCTGTTGACCCAAATATGGGAGAGAGAAATCTTTTGCCTTGTATCAGGTCAAACTAGAGCCATCCACAGGCAGCAGTCACAACTGTGACATCATATACATTTCTAAAATTTGGATTGCTAGCAAAGAATTAAGGAAGAACTGGAATAGCTATTTCGAACTCTTTAGTTCTTTTCAACCAGACATACCATTCTGAGATTCAAACCTGGGCTGTCTGCATGTTAGGTAGCTGTATTAAACCTCTAGGCCACAGGCTGTTTCTCACTTTTGCCAGCTGTGTTAGGGAGGGAAGAAACAGGGGAGGAGTTATCTAGAATGCTGTAAGTTACACCCTGTTGACCCAAATATGGGAGAGAGAAATCTTTTCAGTTCCATTTCTCCCTTAATTCTTTGCTAGCAATCCAAATTTTAGAAATGTATATGATGTCACAGTTGTGACTGCTGCCTGTGGATGGCTCTAGTTTGAGCTGATACAAGGCAAAAGATTTCTCTCTCCCATATTTGGGTCAACAGGGTGTAACATACAGCATTATATATATATATATATATATATATATATATATATATATATATATATATATATATATATATATAATAGATTTTCGCGGGTGTTTGTATGTAGGTCTTTGGTTGTTCGGGTTTTCTCCCGCGTAAAATTGGAAGTGTCTTGGCGACGTTTCGACGAAGTCCCATTCGTCATCTTCAGGCTGGTGTTTTCAGCTTCGTGCTTCGAGCAGCAATGTGTGGTCTTAGCTGTTTCTTCCTTTTAACTGCCAGTGGGGGTATGAACTGATTGGGTGGGAGCTTGGCTGTGTTCTGATTGGGTGGAGGTGTGTTCTGATTGGTTAGGGGCTTGGCTGTGCTCTGATTGGCTGGGGGGTTGGCTGTGCTCTGATTGGCTGGGGGGTTGGTTGTGCTCTGATTGGCTGGGGGAGTGTTCTGTTTGGTTGTGCTCAGGTTAGTCTGAGTTGCAGAGGGGTTTAAGATTTTGGGCTGCCTTGCTATTTTTTGGCTTCGCGTTTGTGGTCGTGCCTCATTTTCATGGAGGGTGTCAGTTTGCTTCGTGTATGGATTGGAGGGCTTTGAAGTGGCTAATGATGCAGCTCTGGTCTGGCTTCTGGTTTGTGGTCGTGCCTCATCATCGGTGTGGCTTTGGGTTTGCGTTTTGCGTGGATGTGTGGTGGTGACATCCTGTGTGGTTTTTATGAGTGTGGGTCTGGTATCATTTTTTGTATTAGGG